GTAACCACAGGGATGTTCTATAGCTACTGATTTCACTAATGTCTGAGCACAAAGGGGCATATCTAAATCAATATAGAAAATTCTAGGATCCAGATCAGCAATTACATTATGTAAAGGCTTTCCTCTCCAGATCATTAGACTATTTTGTCTAAATCTGCACAGGTGAGCAGTTATTTTAACACTGGTTGCATGACTGTCTCAAAAACCTATGTAATTAATCTGCATTGCCAGCACTAAAAATGGTGTGACAGAAGACACTCCCGGAGAAGAAGGGAAAAACATGAGCCTTTATTATAGACTGAGTCATTAATCCTCCAAGAGATCATTCATCTACACAAGCACGGCACAAGTTGTTGCAGCAGAGGAAACACCTCAAACAATTGGCCATTGCAAGGAAAGCTTAATTCAGGAAAACTCTGAAAGTAAAACACATAAGAGAGAAAAGTGGCTTTGGGGACTTTTTAGAGCTCCCCCAAACTTTGGGCTCACTGAAGAGATAAATAAATAAATAAATAAATAAACACTAAATTTTCACTTCAAGATGAGTCAGTATTTTCCTCATGTTATGAGCCCACTAATAAATTGACATATGTATATTTCCAAATCCTATTTTAACTGCTGGATGGAAGTAGGTTTTCCAGCCATGTGAACCCTTCTACAAGGACTTCTGCAGACAATAACCACAATAATAAAGTCCTCTTTTTGAAACTGTGTTCTCATAATGGACAATATACTGATACCATGGTAACATACAATTTTAAAGGTAGGCAGCACAAATAATCCCAAAAACTATTAGCTGTGAGTACTGTATAGCAGCCACAAAGCTAACCTTGAGCCTTCTCCCAAATACTGCAATCTCACAGAGTTCTGCTGATTTTTTTGGTCTCAAACATCCAGGCCACAGCAGTACTGGGCTCACAGCCCCTTGGGCTGAAAAATGGATGTGCCAGAGGTGTGCCACAATCTCCTGCAGCTCTCTAGGAAAGCAGCAGAGCAGAGGACCCATGAACCACAGCAAAAGGTCGTGCTGGGGGTAAAGACAACAATTTCTGCTTGAAGTGCTGCCGTTATCCTGCAGCCTCCCCCTATGTGATAAAAACCCATCCAGTAAGATCCTTACCCTGCTTCCCTTCTGCCTGTCCTAAAACACAAGCCCTTAAGAACAGCACCAACCATGCCTACCAATACATGATATTTGGCAAAACTCTGACTTCATTTGTACTGAACCCTGACACCCATCACCCCTGGAGTGTGCCTTTCTCCGATTCTCCTGCTGCTGGTTGGAGTGTGCAGCACAGGAACGCTGCACTCCAGTGCTGGCAGTGCCCCGTGCCCCTGATCCCTGATTAGATCCCTGTCAGAAATGGCACCTCCCTCTCCCTCTTACAGAGCAGGTCCCAGCACCCTCCTGCCTTGTGCCAAGGGATGCACCAAGAGGTGGCAGAGCTCTGCCTCCAGCGGGAGCAGGACAATCTTCAGTCACATCTGCACGTGCTGCCTGTTTTAGCCAAGCCTCAGCAGAAAGTTCATTTCACATCAGAGCCTCCCCTCAGCTCCACTGCACAAGCTTTAGAAGCACACAGCCCACAAATCAGATTGCTATTACCAGCAGCAGGAGACAGGGCAGCATTATGTATGCTCCAATACAATCCACTGATTCCCTCTTTTGAGACACAGAGAAAAAGCCATCTGGTCTGCAGCACCAAGGCTGCCCACCATTTACCTCCACTGCAAAGTTACCAGGAGATAAGAAGAAGGAAAAAAAGGCATTGACTAAAATTAGTCACTCATTGGGCACCGACCCAACAGCCTGCAGAAACAATTTTTTTGTCATCAAAACATAAATCAAATTATTAGTATTTGAAGTATTTCTGCAATTGGCATCTTTAGTATTCTGGACTTTTTCAGCTAGAGGATTTGCCACAGATTTGCTCTTTCTCCACCTGCATCCCAAATTACTGCATGGCTCTCCCCTGGCAGCACAGGAAAGGCCTCAAACTACAAGAAATGCATGTAAACTTACACACCATTTCAGGCTGCCAGCATGAAGCCTCTCACTGATTTATATGGACAGAACAGCACCTTTAGCAGATAAAACAAGTACATATGATGAGAGACAACTGTGTGCATTACATTCATCTCACTCTTGGGTTAAGGAACAGCCCAGCTGAATGACAGAACCTGCCAGAAGGCAAGTAGGTGCTATCAGAATACTCTGGGACAAATTCCACTTCATCAGACATCCAATCTGAAAGTAAAACTGTGTGGTCCTTACCATACAGCAAAAGGTCAGTTTTCTTGTCACCAAGTATTCTGTGTTTACCTGTAATTATTTTGATGTGAAATCTCAGTTGTGGTCTACTACTTTACTATAAACTATGTTGGAGAAAATTCACAGGGGCAATGGATAAATCTCAAAGTCTCTTAGTAATGAACTATTCCAACTTTTTTTGGAACTTCTTTTTATACCATAAGAATTATTCCAAACCCAATTTTGCAATGCTTACTGCTATTGTCCTTTATATATTAAGCTGCACACTGAGAGCTGCATGAAGTCAGTGCTAAATTAGCCAGGACTAAGCTTACATCTTCATTTCAAATATAGGACTGGAAATGAAAGAACTATGCGTGGCAGTAACTGGTGTAACTTGAAAACATCCAGATCACCAAAACTGGATAGAATAGGAATGGAAGCACAAGGCAACCACTCCTTGAAACTTTCACACTTCCAGCAGTTCAGCAATGCTACAGAAAACATGAAGCTTGCTGTCTGATGGAAAACAGCCCTGACTTGCACCAAACTTAGGTAAATACAGACCTTAAGGTCAAGGTCAGCAGAGCAGAAGTTTACTGCCTTTACAAACAACCACATGGTGTCTGCTTCACCTGCCAGGCAGAGACTGCAACACTGACACTGGTAAGGGTGGCCAGCATAGCCCCATCCTGAGGGAAACTGAGTCACACACTCTGCTACAGTACCTGCTACAGGTGAAGTGACAGACCTGTCAAACCTTCCCGATGTCACTGCAGGCAATATAAAAGTGACAGAGAAGAAAAAGCTGTTTTTACTACTTCACATTAACTTATTGAAACACATTGTGCAAGGCAAATGGAGGAACAGTAACTTAAACACTGCCCATTCTAGTGAACAGGGAAAGTTCATTTAATAAGCAATAAACCACAGCTAATTATTAATTACAGTCGTATCAGCTGGTCCATGACTTGTATTAATCAGTCTGTAAATGCAGCACAGCATCCATGACTGAGCTGCACCAAGCTGAGAATGCCAGCTCCATCCATAATTTACAATGATCCTCCATAAATCTGCTCAGTTAACACAATGACACTGGCCATGTGGGCACAGTAACCAATTTTTCTCCTGACAGTTGTTGGAGCTGTAACAAAAGACTCATAGAAGCAAGAGTTCCACTCTGAGTCACCTCTCTCTGAGAGTCTTTGGATATGGAAAGAGTTGGTATCTTGATGAACTTGCGTGGTGCTGAACAAAACAGTGTCACCAAAAGATGTCTGCCCGGCTCTGTGCATATCTACTGAAACTAGTAAATGCCCCAGTTTTAGCTTGGCAGGGGTTCACAGTTTGTAAGAGGACACATCAAGATGGCATCTGGACACATTTTACATTGAATAATTTCCTCTCCTGCAACGCTCAAGTACTTTGTGCATGAATCCACGTACACAGCAACACATGTCTGTTTTTTAGCTACACTAAGTTTTTATCAAACCCTTGTGCTCTTTGAAAACAACGTCCACACAAACACTATGGAGATCACAGAATCAATGGGGTTAAAAAAGACCTCTGAGACCATGGAGTCCAGCTTTTAACCAAACACCATCATGTCAACTAGACCATGGCACTGACTGGCACATCCAGTCTTTCCTTAAACACCTCCAGGGGCAGTGACTCCACCACCTCCCTGGGCAGTCCGCTCCAATGTCCACTCACCCTTCCAGTGAAGAAATTCCTCCTAATTCAATCTCAACTTCCCCTGCTGAAGCTTGAGATTATGCCCTCTCATTTGCTTCCTCCTAATTCAATCTCAACTTCCCCTGCTGAAGCTTGAGATTATGCCCTCTCGTTTGCTGCCTGGGAGAAGAGGCCAATCCCCACCCGGCCACACTCTCCTTCCAGGAGCTGGAGAGGGTGATAAGGCCACTCCTGAGTCTCCTCTAGGCTGAACACCCGCAGCCCCTCACTGCTCCTCATCAGACTCATGCTCCAGCCCCTTCTCTGGGCTCTCTGCAGCACCTCAATGTCCTTCTAGCAGTGAGGGGCCCAGAACTGGACACAGCACTCGAAGTGCAGATATACCTGCATGCATGGAAACACATGTTTACATGCTGTCTTCCTGTACAGCCAGGCTTCTGCTGCTGACACACAACACGAGGTCTCCGAGCTCTTCCCTGCGCATTCATCAGTGCCCCTTACACCCAGCGTGCGCACGCCCTGACCCCCAGCCCTGCGGAGCTGCTCGCACCGTGCACAGCACGGGCTACGAACACACAAGCCCTTCGTGCCCCCACGGGCGACAGCCGGCTCCGGAGCGCCGGGCAGCTCACCCGCTCCCCGGGCCAGGACGCTCCTTCCCCCGCACCGCCCCGACCCCCGCGGGCAGGGCGGGCTGTCACCGCGCCCCGCCCGGCTCCGCTTCCCGCCCCTCCCGCCCGGGCCCGGTTGCCAGGGAGGAGGCTCGGGCTCCGGCCCCGCACAGCGCCCGCGGCGGGAGGGAAGCAGCGAAGGAGGGAGGCGGGCGGGCGGCGGGGCGCGGCGCGGGGGTCCCGCCGGGACGAGGGGGCGGCGGGAGCGGGGGCACCGGTCCCTACTCACTCTCGTCAGGCAGCTGATCCAGCTCCGCCATCTTGAACGAGCCGCGCCGCTTTTTCAAAGGCTGCCTGGCGCGGGGCATTCTGGGGGAGGAGACGGGGCCGGGCGCGCGGCGGGCGCGCGCGCGGGGCGGGGCCTCCGCCCGCCGGCCGTGAGGGGCAGGGACGGGCCGGGAGCGAGGGGAACGGGAACGGGAACGGCGCCGTGGGACTAAAGGGAACGGCGCCGTGCCCAGCCCCGCGGGAACACAGGACCAGCGTCAGGGAGGAGGAGTGGACGTGATAGTACTTCCAGTCTGGTTCCGATTCCCTGCCACTGGCCGGGGAGCCTTCCACTAGACCAGCTTGCTCAGAGCCCCGTCCAAATTGGCTTTGAACGCCTCCAGGGCTGGGCTAGCCAGAGCTGCTCTGGGTGACCTGTTCCAGTGTCTCATCACGCTCCCAGTAAATACTTTGTTCCTAATATCGAACCTGATTTTCCTCTCTTTCACCTTGTAGCCATTACTCCTTGTCCTATCACTACTACAGTTCCTGACAGTCCCGCTCTGGCTTCTTTACAGCTCCCCTTCAGACACTGGAGTGAAGTCTTCACACAAACTTCTCCAGGCCTGAAGAGCCCCAGCTTTCTCAGCCTGTTGTCATAGGGTAGGTGTTCCTGTCCTTATCCTGCCATGGCCCCCCCGGAGTTGCTGCAACAGTTCCCTGCCATGCGGATGATGTGGGATGAGGGGGAATGGGTGACTGGCAGTTCAGGATGGGGGGAAAGGGGGTGGGAGGTGTTGGGTGCCACAAAGGGTCACCCCAAAGCAGCTGTGCTAGCTTTGAGTCTTTAAACAATCCCATTACATTATATCCATCCTCCTTCACTGAGTAATAACTTTTTGCTAAACTCTGCCTATTTCCCTTGTCACTTTTAATGAACAGCTGCAGAGGTGAGGCTCCAGGAGGAGTAAGGGACCACAACAACCCCGGCCCGGCCAGCCCTGGCCCCGCTGTCACGGTCCGTGGCACTCCGCCCAGGAGGCGGCTGGAATGCTCGCCCAGCCCACGGCCTGAAGGTCAAGGTCTCACTTGCTCTCACCCAGTGCAGGGAAAGCCAACAAACCCCAGAAGTGGGTGGCTCTTGCCTAACAAGCTCCTTGCCTTGGCCTGCCCTCTACCATCTCACCCCTGAAAGTTTTCTTCAAGCAGCAGCAGTAAGGTTTTTTTGTGTAGTTTTCTTAGATCTCTGCACCACAGTGAATTCTAAAGCTTCTGCATCAAGAAATGTAAGTGTGGAAATACCACCATGAGCCACAAGCACCTTAACTGCTCATGGACCAGACTCTCTACATAGGTTTGGCTTTGAATTATACCAACAAAAATTCCCTTTTTAAAGATATAAAAATAAATACAAAAATGCAAATTGAGCCTCAAAATAAATAAACAGTCTATCTTGGTCGAGGCTAAGAAGCCTGTGTCACATGTTAAAAATATTGTCAAGAGCACAGTGGTGTAATGCAAAATGGATGCCATGCCTGGTTGTATGCAGCTCTTTGAAAGCACCTAGGTGAAACTAAATATTCTACACAATACAGAAAATGTGTGTCTTGGGACATGGAATAGAATTTAATTTGTGTTCTTAATTTGCTAATGAACTCAGATGACTAGGCACTCCAGCAGGTTGAGAGGGGCAGGAGATAGGTCATGTTATTAAACAATTTTAATACATACATAAATAAATAAAATCAATGCTGCCCTTGTGCTCAAGGGGGAAAAAAGCCAGTTTTTAAGCGAAGAAACAAACTCAGTGAAATGCTTTAGAAATTCCCCCCAGGGCTTTCCATGTACATTGTAGCAGAGCTAAAAAAAGAAAAAATGAAAAAAAAAAAAAAGGGAAAAAGAAAATACAAAGCCTAGCTTGCATTTCCAGCCCCCTTTTCAGGTCATTTTGAAAGATTGTTTAAACAGCCTTCCCTCCCCTTAGCCCCCAAAAGGTTCAGTCAGAGCTTTCATACTGCACAGCTCCAAAGAAAGCTGCTATAGCAGACAGTTACAAAGCACTGTAGGCACTAAACTAAAGAAAGTAGTAACAAAACACAACTAAATAGTAATCTGTGGTATTCCAAACACCAACCTCCCCAACCATTAAATCCTGCACAGTTTTCCCCTTTTAATAAAACACTTCCACCACCCAAAATGCCTGACACGGACCAGACCTTCCAGGCTCAGTTAAACACTGTTAATGGCACCAATATTTCTCTGCATTTCAGCTGTGCTCCCCTTGTGCCAAGGGCTGTGTGGCAATGCTCAGCTAAGGCTGGAGACACTGAGACTTCCACAGCTGACACAAGACACAAGGTTTTCACTGCTGTGCTTTGTAAACCTTGTCATCAGCTCTGGCTGCAGCGGTGCCCAGAGCCACCCTCGTGGTACAGCTTTCCCTGAGCAAGGGCTCTGCAAGGGAGGAGTGAAAAGTGTTCCACAACACAATCACATTTCATAACAGTCCTCAAGAGTGTGAATTCCTACAAGGGAAAAAGGAATCAAACTCGGTGCCTTTCAGGGAGTCTTTGTAGACTGCAACAAAACTAGATGAAAAAGGTGATTTTCCCCCTCCCCAAACGTCTCCTGCCAATCATCTCACAAATTAATAGGTGTGAAGGTAGAATTCTGCTCCCAACAGCACAATGATTTTTCCTTCATTTCATTATGATTCCTGGATTAAGAACCTTTTACATCTTGGCCTTTAATGAATGCTGCAGTATCTCTGTGTTCTGGTTTTTCGTTTGTCCTGTGCTCGCTGTTTCCAAGTCACACAAATCTGACCCTGTTTACAAAGGCCCAGCCAGGGCCCTTCCTCAGCGTGCACACAAACACACAATGTTTTCAGTGCATCCTTTTCTCATTCTGGCAAATTTGCAGTTTGCGCTTGGGTGACGTGGAAATGACACCACTCTTCCGACTGGCAGGGTGACTGAAAACATCCGCCCTGGCTGCCAACAACCTGCCTGAGGCGCTGCTGACTCACCTGCTGGCACAGCTGGGGGAGCTCTCCACACGGCTGCACCGCTGCCATTCGCTCTCGCCAGGGTCACGTTAGGCAACTGCTCCTAATGCCGTGTGCTGAAATGCTGCAGAGCACAGCCCCGCTCCCACTGCTCCTCAGCTGCTGCAGGTGATGGCAAGACATGGCTTACAGCACCTACTGACCAATGCAGGCACAGTCCTGTCAGCACACAGCAGGTACTGCTGCGTCCAGGGGACAGCTACGCTGCCATTTTCTCATCTCCCCTCGGCAGGCCCTGGCAGTAGGAAGAAAAGCACAGACAGCTGGCAGGAGAGCATGCTCTTCAGTCACTGAAGCACCTTCTTGTGAAGTCTGAGTCCTGCTGCATTAATCACATTATGAAATTAAGACTTTTTAACGAGGGGGTGGAGGAAGCAGTAGTTTCCCCTTGGAGTTGTTGGGAAGTCATTCCTTCTTCTTGCCTGTCCCTGTGTATCTCACTTCTCTAGAAGTGATCTGCAATGCCCACAACAGGCCCACATGCTACCTTCACACCAGAACAAATTAAAATCACAGCAATTCATCTTAGCTGGGACCTACATCTGCATTTCTTCTCACAGGTGCCACTTCTTCTCCAAAATGACCATTTCTGGAGAGGCAGCCTGACATTAATTTTAAAGTGAAAGCACACACAAGTTCTTGTTCAGATGCATGTACTCCACAACAGTGAAACTATTTTTATGGGCATAACAGGAGCATGAGTATAATACTCTAAGTTAGGGGCCTCAACATGTACATAAAAGCAATTCAGGCAAAACACTGTGGGATATAAATTGGCAGCAATAACACTTCGGCAGACAATTACATCATTATGTCCCCAGAATTCAGAGTGAGGTCTGTAACAGTCTCCCAGAAAGCAAGCTGAAGCAGAGACTTCAGTAGTTACAAACATTTCAGGCCTCATTTAAGAACAGGAGTACAATTATTTATGGCATTGACAAAGTTTCATGTGTCCAGAGGACTTTTTCATATAGAAATTATTTGTTTTGGGGTTTCCCCCCCCCACTTCCCTCTGATTAGAAACTGAAGGAGGGCAGGGGCAGAATGTAATCGTTTTATGGCTAAAGTACCAGGATGGGCAACTTGTGCTTTAGTTTTTTTTTTTCTCAGTCATTTTTTTCCTGCATGAACTCAGGCGAGTCACAAAGAATTTACACTGCCTGCCAATCAGTAAGCCTAGGCTGCCTTCCTTCAATTAACTGCATGGACTGTCTTAATGTCTGAGAGCCGTTGTACAACAGAGCCTGCAGCCATGCTAAATAAAGATAAAATGGTTAAATATTTATAAATTGCTGCTTTTGGTAGTTTAACATTTAGATCAGAAGCCATTCCTCAACATGTCTCCCCTGAAAAAAAGCACAGGATGTCATGGGACCTAATGTCTTGAAAACTCGTTCCTTTCAAGTGCTTTTGACAGAAATGGGACTGCCTGTTCATCCAGCTCTGCTCTGTGCTTGTACTGCCAAAGCAGGGCTTCCAGTGACTGTCACCACGCTGCTCCTGCCAGCCTGGCCCCGGGGAGAGGCTGTCCATCCACTGGGAGGGGCTGTCCATCCACTGGGAGGGGCTGTCCATCCCAGAGAAAGGATCTGCTCCGCTCTGACAAGCTAGCAGCAGAAGCAGTGCCTGGACTGACATCAGATTTCCCTGCAGGATGGTGGCAGGGGTCTCCCAGAGTCCCCAAAGGGCATCTGCTTCAGCAAGTCCTGTAGCTTTTCCTGCTGTATTTGTGCACTTAGGGACAGCTTGGGATGTAGTTCTTTGTGCTGCAATTATAACTGAGCACTATGTACACAGCACAAAGCACTCCTTGTGCTGCTTGGGCTGGAGCAACAGGGAACTTTTAGCCACCTCTAAGAGAGCATCAAAAGCAGCTGCCTTCAACTCCTGGTCCAAACTGAACTGTAAACTGCTTTTTTAGAGGGGGAAAAATCATCTATCTTACAACTAAATGGAACAAGTTCTCATGTTCTCTTTCAGAGACTGACAAAATCATACTTAAGCGACTTTCCAAAAGGGCTTTTTGGAAGCAAAACAATGATTAGCCACTGGTTAAGCTACTTAAGAGGCAGAAGACAGGCTACTCTCTTCACTTCCTCTCAAAATCCATTATCACCAACCCAAATAAATTTTTTCTGTTGAGCTGTCCTCAAGCCATACAACTCACCCAGTCCTTCTACATTTCCTTCTCTCCCTGAAAGCAGCTTTATTTTTCATCGATCACTCTTCATCCTCTTCTCATACAGGGGTCCTGGGAAGACCTGCACCATTAGCACCCACTTTGGCTTTAACTCCTTTTACAAAAGGCCCTGGGACACAACAACATTTTAGGAAACAGATCTTCTGTTTCCACACCGGTTGCTAAAGATTGAAGCCACCACTGTCAGAATGATCTTGAACTGTCCCTGTCTTGGGAATTAGCCATCTCTTTCCCTAGTGCCTCAGAGAAATCAGTAATTTTTGAAGAGAACAATCTGATGTTGTTCTATGGTTAAATGCTCCCACATTGCTCAGTGACTAAAAGTGAGAGGTAACAAACATCATAAAACATTGAAATTATCAGTTTGTATTGCTGTTTTGAGACAGGCATTTCAAGATCACCAACAGAGTAGCGACAGACCTCACTCCAGGTCCTGATGAACGCAGCTTGAACCCAAACTCAACTTCCAGCTTTGTTAGGACGTGAGTCTACAACAACCAACTTACATCATGTTGAAGGTAGGTATTTAAAGGAGGTTTATTGGGGCTAATACTAAATTCAAACAGCCACAAGCTCATTTTCCATGTTTACCACACCAACTGTTGACAGATGAAGTCTCAGTGGAAAGTCCAAATTTTAATTTCACCGTAACTTCTTGAAACATGACTACAGATTTCAGTATTTGGCATTTGATCCTCGAGAGAGATACCACGTTTAAGAACATTCTACCAAATACATTTAAATTATGACTCAAAACCAAAACAATTTGGAAGTTTTGAAACATAAAACTGTTAGTATGAAATTAGCTTTTATTTTTTTACCTCAAAATAAATGCACATTTATCATTTAGTCAAGTGAAAACTGAAAAAAGAGTATCTTAAAGAAGGGGGAACCTTAATAGAGCAAGTACCACAAACATGCTCAAGTTCCTTCTCCTGCTCTTGCCCAGCTCTGTTTGGCTAAGAACACCAGAATAATTTTTTTTCTCTCTTGTCAGTTTGGTCAATTAAAAGAAACACTTAAAGCACCAGAATCAGAAGTGGTATAAAACAAAACCAGGTACTCGTTCTCATCAGAATTCAGGTCCGTGTATTGCCACACTTTTTATATAAAAAACTTTCACTAAGTGTTGTACTAAATAGGATTTAGTAATTTCTTCTGCAGTTTAGCTCTTGATATCTTGGTAAGAGAAGTCAATGCATAAGCATGTCAGAAGTCAACGCTATAGTGTAACTACAGTACAACTCTAACAGGGCTTCTAAATACTGTTCACCA